AAAAAAAAAAAAAAAAAAAAAAAAAAGTAAATAAATAAATGAAACAAAAAGGCAATAAAAACAGTAAACTGTCAGTCTCACTTTCAAACAGAAAACACGGATAAACTGTTGACCGAAGACAAGAAACCTGAACTTTTTTCAATGGTGATAATTGTAACGATAATGAAAACGATGTGAAGAAGGATACCGTCTTCTTAACAACAAAACTGAGACCGCAGAATATTGATACAGTAACGGAATCACCTTTTTAAATACATAACTTTGTTATCTATAATTTCTATTAGAACACTATTGCCAACCTCTACAAATTTCATGGTGACGACAATAGTACAACCATCTTTGCCGATGCTTTGCTCTTTGTTCGCGATCTGTTGCTGCTGATTGTTTGCAAAAACAAAACAAAAAACAAAATAATTTTCAACTGTTTTTACACAGACTGACCTTATTTATATTCTTCGCTTCTTTTTTTTCTTTTTGACAACATTAAATAGAAAAAAAAAAGTTACTTTGATAAAAAAATTAAAAAAGGAATGATATAGAGGAAAAAAAAAAACAATTTATATTTCATAAGTAAACAAGAGAAAAGGTAAGGATAAAAATAAAATGGCTCAGTTAAATTTTGATCAAACTTCAAATGTTTTGAAAAGAAAAACAATCCTTAAAAATTGTATGTTTTTAAAAACTTTTCTTACCATATCAAATCCGTGAAAATTTTTTACAGTCAGAGTACGACTGTCAGTTGATGTACAGTTTAATCTTTAATAATTTCAATCAAAAAAAAAACGCAGACAATCTTTGTTTCAGAAAAAAAAAGTGAGCAAAGCATACTTATCTTCTTTTTGAAAACACCGCTAATAAGTTTGACTTACAAGTGATTAAAATAGCAGAACGTAGACGATTAATTTGAAATAAACATTTCACCAAGTTGGTACTGCTGAAACAAACCTGAAAAAAAAAAGGCTGATTTCATATCCAGTACAAGACGCCAGGAAGAATTTTGATCTTATTGCAGCAATGCTAGATCTCAACAACTCAGACATACATCCAGGTTCAATAATTTTATATCGATATATAGTGACCGAAATACAGTTGGAAAAAGTCAAATGAAATGATGAGGAACAGTCTGGAAAACTGAGAGATGTTAATACGTGGAGGGTCAATTTGGTCAAACAGTACAACAAATCTTTGATCAAGCAAAACATTTAAATATCTTAGTACATCATACAGAAAAAAATTATCATAACGCACAATATTTTGAAGGGTATACGTTCAGCAAATCAAATTGATTTGCTAAAGCGTATCTTTGACCGTCTTTTCCATGGTCTTTAATATATTAGCTGGCATTCCTGCAGTTCTACAAGTCAAATAAGCAACAACAAACTTATGAGCTAACGAAAAAAAAAGACAATATTTTCAAACACTTTCCCTTCATAAAAAAATGTGTAAACAGGTTTTTAGAAGGTGGATATTTTTAATGGTTAATAACAGCAGTAGTAGCAGTAGCAGTAGCAGTAGCTGCAGCTGCTGCAGCACCAATACCTCAAACAGGTAGTCAAAGCAATAACATCGAATTTAGCTGTTGAACGTTGACTAAAACTGCAATTTTTCGAATGTTTGTGGTAAATCTGATGCAATAAAAAAAAAATTACTTTTTTCAATCAGTTTTCCGACCCTTCAAAAATCT